GACGACGACGACGACGACGACGACGACGGCGGCGGCGACGGCGACGGCGGCGGCAACGACGACGACGACGACGACGACGACGATGGCGACGGCGACGGCGACGCGACGGCGACGGCGACGGCGACGCGACGCGACGGCGACGGCGACGGCGACGGCGACGGCGACGGCGGCGGCGGCGGCGACGCGGCGACGGCGACGCGGCGACGGCGACGACGACGACGACGACGACGACGCCGACGCCGACGCCGACGACGCGACGACGCGACGACGACGCCGACGCGACGACGACGCCGACGACGACGCCGACGACGCCGACGACGACGACGACGACGCGACGCCGACGCCGCCGACGACGCCGACGACGCCGACGCCGACGCCGCCCGCGCCGCCGCCGCCGCCGCGCCGCCGCGTGACGCCGACGCCGAACGCCGACGCCGACGCGACGCCGACGCGACGCCGCCGCCGACGACGCCGCCGCCGCCGCCGCCGTCGACGACGCCGCCGCCGCCGCGCCGCCGACGCCGACGCCGACGACGACGCCGACGCGACGACGCCGACGCCGACGCCGACGCCGACGCCGACGCCGGACGCCGACGCCGACGCCGACGCCGACGCCGACGCCGACGCCGATGCCGACGACGACGACGACGACGACGACGACGACGACGACGACGACGACGACGACGACGACTACTACTACTACTACTACAACTTCCACTACGACGACGTCGACGACTACTACGACTACTACTACTACTGCTACTCCTACTTCTACTACTACTACTGCTACTACTACTACTACTGCTGCTGCTGCTACTACTACTACTACTACTACAACTATTAGTACGAGTGCTACTACTACTACTACTACTACTACTACTGCTGCTACTACTACTACTACTACGACTACTACTACTACTACTACTAATCGTATTACTACTAGTACTATTACTATTTCTACTACTACTACTACTACTGCTACTACTATTGCTATTACTGCTACTACTACTTTTATTAATATTACTACTACTACGACTATTACTACGACGACGACTACTACTACTACTACTACGACTAGTAGTAGCACTACTACTGCCACAACTACTACTACGACTACTGCTACTACTACTACTACTACTATCACTACTACTGCTACTTCTTCTGTTTCTCCTACTTCTCCTACTACTACTTCTACTACGGCGCCGACGGCTACTACTATTACTACTACGATTGCTACTACGGCTGCAACTACTACTACTACCACCACTACTATTACTACTACTACTACTACTACTACTATTACTACTACTACTACTACCACTACTACTACTACTATTATTACTACTACTACTACTACTACTACTACTACTACTACTACTACGACTACTACGACTACGATGACGACTACTACTACTACTGTACTACCACTGCTACTACTACTACTACTACTACTACTACTACTACTACTACTACTACTACTACTACTACTACTACTACTACTACTACTACTACTACTACTACTACTACTACTACTACTACTACTACTACTACTACTACTACTACTACTACTACTACTACTACTACTACTACTGGTACTACTACTACTACTACGGCTACTACTACTACTACTACTACTACTACTACTCCTACTACTCCTACGACTACTACTACTACTACTACTACTACTACTACTACCATTTCTACTACTTCTACTCCTACTTCTATTTCTACTACTACTACTACTACTGCTACTACTACTACTACTACTGCTGCTGCTGCTGCTGCTGCTGCTGCTACTACTACTACTACTACTACTACTACTACTACGACTACTACTTCTACTACTACTGCTACTGCTGCTTCTGCTGCTACTAGTACTACTTCTCCAGCTCCGCGCGCCAGGGTGGCGGGCCCAGCGCCGATCGAAGAAATCGGGGCAGACCTCCGGACATTTGTGTTTCTGCAATGTGTTGTTCCTCTGCCCGAGAGTTTTCTTATGGCGTGTTCGGGTTCCCTTTCGCCATTGCTCGTCTGGCCATTGCGATGCCTCCAGGCTCGGTCTTTTGTGCTCGGTGGGTTCGTTGACGGGCCCTACTGGGCCTAGGGGGGCATCATTGCGGGCTGCGCTTTCGCCACGCGCTTTATCCGTGTGTATGCCATTCAGGATTTTGATAGCTGTGCGTTGATGATTCTGGTGTCCGTGCTATTGGAACTAAGGAGCACATCGTCGCCAGCCTGCCGCCAGTTGCGCGTCAGCTGTGCTCGGTCGTAGAGGACAGGGTGGTCGTAGAGCACAGGGTGGGAGCGACGGCCACTCTGGACAAGTGGAAACGATCGCTGATCTGCACTTCTAAGGTGCTTGGGCGAGGCCTGGCCGCTAAGCTTGGAGGGCTGGCTGGCCCTCTCGTCTCGTCGGCGCCGAATTTATGAGTGGATGATTGCGTAGGCAGACCTCGTCGTGTCAAGGGCATGAGTGCCATGCACAAAAAGCGCGAACAAACATCGGCTAGGTTTGTGGCTCGGGAGGCCCGTCCGGGGCCCACGGTGGGGGGCCGCGTCGCCCGCAACGTTTTTGTTTCGTGGGCCCTTGCTTCGGAGCTCTTCGGGTCCGAAATCCACGGGGCTAGCGATTCAGAATGGTTAGCTTATCGCCGCCAGGCTGGAGCGGTCTTGCAGCCTTCGGCCAAGGGCCGCTCGTTGACGGCGCTCTTGCTCGCGCACGGGGAACCGTGCTGGTATACCAGTGTCGCGCCGATCTTCGGTGGTCGAAGTAGATTTGGTGGGTTCACCACAGGTTGTACAGTCACACCTTCTCCCTGCCCGAGCTGCGAGCTGCGTGGCACATTGGCTTCGAGGGCGAAGCTCCGCTGTGGCGTTGTGTGTCGGCCCTAAACCTTAAACCGTATGTGTGACTCTTGTTTCCCATTGCCCAGGGTGGATACAGCCACCTGCGCTAGAGACGTGTGCCACGGGAGTACCACGTCGTATCTTGCACGGTTTTCTATCTTAAACTTCAATGTGGGAAGCTATGTGTGATCCATGTTTTCTTCTGGCGACGGCCGCGGAACTGCATGCTCCCTGCCGCCCCTGATTTACCAACTCCCTTGCTGATCGTTTCTGGATGGGCTGGTGGGGATACTTTTTGTGTCGCCGCCGCCGGCCAGTGCGCCAGCGGCGAGTCAGATCCGAACGGGCCGCGCAAGAGCCGAATTGCCTAACGCCGACGGGCCGGCGACGTCAGCAACGCCTCGGCGGGCGGGCCGGCGTGACGGGGGGTGCAAGCTGCAGCTGCCAGGGACCAGGTCCAGGGGCGCGCACGTGCAGAATTAACCAACCAGGGTTGGGGCGCAGCCAAAATGGTGCGAGGGTCGTACCAGGATGTGACCAGGGAGGCAGCCAGCCAGTAAGTTGCGACGAATGCCATGGGTGCCCAAGCTGGCCCAAAACTGGTGCATCGGGTGGCGCCACCAAGTGCTGGTGGGGATACGCGAAGCGTCAACATTTTTTCATGGTGCCACGAAGCGTGTATTGGGTGGGGGGCACGCATGCGGGTGGTAGCACAGAGGCCTTCGGTGTTCCTTATGGGACCACGAAACGCGTGAGTGGTGTGCCGACATGGTAGATTGATGCGGAGAGCAAAGGCAAAAAAGGAAGGATGGAGGGCGGCACGGGGAGGAAAACGCAGGGCGTTGTCTCTTCAAAACGAGAACCCAACACCACAGGATGGCTTAGAATTGAGCTCGTATTTTGCGCGTTCCGACCCAAGTGTGGGTTCCTTTCCGGGGCGCCTGGGGGTTACCCCGGGCATTTTTCCGGGGTCACCCCGGTACCTTCTGCAGGGCGCCCTGGGGCTACCCTGGGCACCTTGATGGGGTGCCCCGGGGTTGTGTGCATGCGCGTGCGTGCGTGCGTGCGTGCGTGCGTGCGTGCGTGCGTGCGTGCGCGCGCGCGCGCGCGTGTGTGTGTGTGTGTGTGTGTGTGTGTGTGTGTGTGTGTGTGGATGTGCGTGTGTGTGTGTGTGTGTGTGCATCTGCATTTGCGTGAGTGTGTGTGTGTGTTTATGTGTGTGTGCGTATGTTGCGTGCGTTCATGCAGCGCCGCCTTGCTGCAGTCACCTGCGCGCCTGCCGCCTGCCTGGGGCTGGCCAGTCATCTCAATGCATTATGGCAGGTTTGCTGCGTTTTCCCACCCAACACGGTTTCGGGTCACAGTTCAATCGGCACTCCGCCGTATAGAAAATGATCGGCGAGGCAGGACCGTATGCAATTTGCATTGCCCAGGGGGCTTCGATGAGTCCGCGACGGGGGAGAGGTTGGTGGAATATGTATGTATGTATGTATGTATGTATGTATGTATGTATGTATGTATGTATGTATGTATGCATGCATGCATGCATGCATGCATGCATGCATGCATGCATGTATGTATGTATGTATGTATGTATGTATGTATGTATGTATGTATGTATGTATGTATGTATGTGTGTGTATATATATATATATATATGGAGGGGAGAACTGATTGTGCGGTGCGAAGTGTGCGGTGCAAGCAAGAATGAACCAGCAACGCAGAAAACAGAACGGCGTGGCGCAGGGCGTGTGGTGCACACTGCGAAGGTGCAGGCTGCGTGGCGTAAGCTTTTGCGGTGCCGGCTGCGTGGTGCAGTCTGTGCGCTGCAGGCTGCGTGGCACGCACCGCGAGGCGCCCGCCGAGGCCTCCACGGTCTGGAAAGCTGGCGGGCACGAGTGCCCACGAGCCGCCCGCGGGCGGGCACCCACGGGGGGCGCCAGGCGAAGCTCCGACCCACCGAGGCTCCGACTGCGCACGAGGAGCGGCAGGAGCCGCCGAGAGCAGGCAGCAGAAGCAGGCGCAGGCAGGAGCAGCAGGAGCACGAGAGAAGCAGGGAGCAGGCAGGAGCAGGCAGGAGCAGCAGGAGCAGGCAGGAGCAGGCAGGAGAAGCAGGTGCAGTAGGAGCACGAGAGCAGTGGGAGCAGCAGGAGCAGAAGTGTGGGGAACAAGCAACAGCCCCTCAGTGCAAGCACCATGCCCGGGAGTGTCCCCAGGGAGCGTCCTCGCGAGAAATTCTGCGGCGACCCCAGCCGTGGCAGCGCGCGTCGCCCCCCGGGTGGCCCGGGCAGGCGAGGGCGTGCGGCCGGCAGCGGTGCCGCGGGAGTGTGTTTTTTTCTGCCTTCCGAGGTGGGGGGATGACGGCACGTTCCAGCCACAGCGCGCAGCTGGACTTCGCGGTGCTGGCGAACTACACGTGCGGCGAGAGCATCTCCGCCGCCCGCGTGCTGTCGCGGCTGGTCCGCGGCAAGACCCAGATGCGCACCACCGAGCTGCTGCACCCACGGGACGTGCAGGACCCACGCGGCGCCATGCAAGGGGGTGACGCGCGGGGGGCGGGGGCCTGCTGAGAGGACTGGGGGCCTCTTGGAAGCCCCCCCGCCCTGAAGCCCCCGTCCTCAGCATCGTGAGAGCCTACTGTTTCACGCGAAGCCGTTTCATCGGGACGAGCTCATGCGAGACAAGTTCATCTGGACGAGTGCGTCTGGACAGCTTCTTCCGGACGAGCTCATCCGACGACGATGTCATCCGAAGAGGTCACCCAGAGATGATGCCATCCGTAGACAAGCTCACCCGGATGAGTTTATCCGTAAGGGCTTCGCCCCATGCCGCCGGCCCCCAGTCTCGGATAATGGGAGATGCAAAAGCTGAATCGTGAGGTCTGGGCGCCGCCGTGCGTCACGGGTGCCACCGACTTTCAGAAATGTGGCAAATCCTTCGTGTTTTTGGACCCTGACTCTACGGATCTGCGTGATGGGGTGCCGACGAATTTCAGAAATGTGGCAAATCCCTCGTGTTTTTGGACCCTGACCCCGCCGATCTGCGTGAGGGGTGCCACTGTATTTTCAGAAATGTGGCAAATCCCTCGTGTTTTTGCACCCTGACCCCGCCGATCTGCGCGAGGGGCGCCACCGAATTTCAGAAATGTGGCAACTCCTTTGTCTTTTTGCACCCTGACCCCGCCGATCTGCGCGAGGGGTGCCACTGTATTTTCAGAAATGTAGCAACTCCTTTGTCTTTTTGCACCCTGACCCCGCCGATCTGCGCGAGGGGTGTCCGCAAATTTCAGGAATGTTGCAAATCCCTTTGTGTCCTTGCACCGTGACCCCGCCGATCTGCGCGAGGGGGTGCCGCCGAATTCAGAAATGTGGCAAATCCCTTTGTGTTTTTGGACCCTGACCCCGCCGATCTGCGTGAGGGGGTGCCGCCGAATTCAGAAATGTGGCAAATCCCTTTGTGTTTTTGGACCCCGACCCCGCCGATCTGCGTGAGGGGTGTGAATTTTTACCCACGGCGTGGTAAAACCGCCTGTTTTGGGCCTCCCCCCCCTCGCGCGGCCCATCAACAAGGAACAGTGAGCAGCAAGAAGCAGACAGTAAGCAGCAAGAAGCAGAACTGTAACAGTGGAGACTGGAAGCTGCAACTGTTACAGGAAACTGCGAAGCTTCGTCCTACAGCCTGGTGGCCCCATAAGGGGGCCGGCAGATCTGGACAGCGTCGTCCTGACGAGGTCGTCCAGCAGAAGGATCTTCCAGATGAGCTCGTCGCGGAAGAAATCGTCCAGGATGGGCTGGTCGTCTTCCGTGGTTCGGCCTACCCCCACCCCCGCTAGGAGGGCGTTTGCCCCATTGTGCGCCCCCCAAGTGGACGGCCCCTGGTGGCTGGGCAGAAGGCCTTTCCGACTTCTCTGAAGGTTCTCAAGACCTCTCTTGGTGCGGGTGCTGCACTCGGCAATGCTGAAATGGTGCTGCTCCTCCGTGGCCGCTTCGCCGCACGCCAAGCAAAAGTGCAGCCCAGACTTTGCCAGAAGCGCAAACTACGAGAGGAGTGACGCGCCTTCCCACCAGCCGTCACCCCCCCCGATGGCCCACACCACCGCACGGTCAGCAAGGCTCGAAGGGTCCTGGGCCGCCGCGCAGCACGGCGTCGTGCCGAACTCCGCCACCTGCGACACAGGAGCGACCACGTGGCCCGAGGAGCAAAGCCGCTTCCGTGCGGCGCGCACCACGCAGTGCTCACTCCTGCGCAGGGCCCGCAAGAGGCCTTCGTGAGGCCGCACGGCGGACACGGGCGCAGCACGGATGGCGGCCACCATTGGCTCTGGCCGCTCGGCGCCTGACCAGCGCCGCAGAACAGTCCCAGACGCCAGTGTCGGGGGGCCTCCTCCTCCTCCTCCTCCTCCTCCTCCGTCCCTCCCTCCCTCCCTCCCTCCCTCCCTCCCTCCTCCTCCTTCTCCTCCTCTTCCTCCTCCTCCTCTCTCCTCCCTCCCTCCTCTCTCGTCTCCTCTCCTCCTCCTCCTCCTCCTCCTCCTCCTCCTCCTCCTCCTCCTCCTCCTCCTCCTCTCCCCTCCTCCTCCTCCTCCTCCCTCCCTTCCCCCTCCTCCCCTCCTCCTCCTCCTCCTCCTCCTCCTCCTCCTCCTCCACCTCCTCCTCCTCCTCCTCCCCCTCCTCCTCTCCCTCCTCCTCCTGCCTTGATGTCCACGGGTCCAGGAGGAGCGAGCGGCCTCCCCCTGCGAGGGTGTCGGCAACGCCGTTTGCCCGTGGCGTGCACAAACGCTCCTGAGGTGGCAAGGGAGGGGTGCTCCGAGCCGACGTGCGAGGGGAACCACACTGCCTGGACCTCCCCCTCTCGCCTCTCTGCGAGAGCGGCCCGGACTCGAAACCGAAGGTCCGAGGTGGGGCCTTTTGCAGTCCTCGTGCCGTCTGGAGTGCCATCCCCTGTGGAGGGCAGCGTTGTCCGTGACAAAGCGCACCGGGCCAGAAAGCCTGCGAAGAGCGAGCTCAAATGCTCGAATCTCGGCTATGGGCACCGTTAAACGGCGACCCCCAAGGGTCGTGGCGAAACCGCGGGCCCGCTGCCAGCCTCCAGAGGCTGGCGCCAGCGTGATCGCAGCCGCGCCCTCTCTTCGGCGACGAGGGTCGCTGCTGTACTGCCCACCAGAGCCGTCTCCAAACACTAAAAAGCAAGCTATCTGCTCGACAAGGGTCGAGCGTGGCCTCCAGGTCCTCCCCCGCCTCTCACTCCACGTCCTCACCCCCCATCCCGAATCAGGACACGTGAAGCTTCGAAGCGGGGGCCCGCGCAGCCAGAGACTCGGGTTGGCTTCACGCCCCGCATGCTCCGAATTCTCATAGGCATGGACTCCTTTGTTGCTGGGGCACTCCCACACCCCATGAAAAAGGGACTCCTCGGGCCCCCCGCAACGCGGGCACTTGGGAGAATCCAAATACCCTGGGGCAAGCTGGCGCTGGTGAGGCCATTGGCCACCAGCTTCAACGGTGACCATCTGCCCAGCAAGGTCGAATTCGTCCCTCTTGCGAAACCTCTGAAGCTGTGACCTGTGAATGGCAATATCCGCGCCTGACACCAGATCATCGCCGTGCAAGTGCTTCGATGCCTGCAGCCAATGTTGGGACTTAAGGTCCTCAGCGAAATCACTGACAAGCTGCGCTACATCGAAATCCCCATCCACACGATCCACAGCTATGTCTGGAAATTGCCAGGCTTCCAACGGGCTGGGCCCGACAGGCCTGCGCCACTCTGTGGAGAAACGGGTCGCCAGCCCGCGTCTTTCAGGGTGGCGATGACGGCCCCCATCGGCCCTCGGACTTTCCTCCACCAGAACTTTGGACCGTGCCCGAGACGCGCGGCCACCAAGCAGGGCCGCGCCTGGGCAATCCTGGGATGGAGGGAGTAGCACTTGTCCCAGAGGTCGAGCCAGGAAAGGACCAGCTGTGTCCTCAAGCTGATCCCAGGGCCTTTGTCCCCGCACCAACATCGCCAACGTTGTAGTGAGACACCGCCCTGGGCCCCGACCCGCAGCAGCCTGGGCCGCTTGCCTCCTGGGCTGCAGGATGGAGGACGGGGAGAGACCCATGGCTTGGTGTCCGTACACCGACTGTGGCAGCGCTCCTTGGAGCCAAAAACCCTGCGACGCCCTGGCCAAGGACGCAGACTTACGTGGCTCGTTGCTGCGAACTCCTCTGGAACGGCAGATGGCGTTTGAGTTTGGCGCAGGTCCGACGAGCCCCCCCAAGCCGCATCACGCCCCGGATCCACCGTGTTTCTAGCAGTCGAGGCCCGGCATGCCCAGCCTGCTGAGACCGCTTAAGAGCTCAGGTCCCAAGCGGGTGCCGTTGGCGCCGAGCTTGGTCTTGGACGAGGTCGGGAGCTCCTGAGCAGCGAACGACCGCACAAACGAGTCAGCGAGCCCTGACATTTGACCAACCACGTCGGCCCATCTCCCCTCGGACCGAGCATCGGTGTCATCTGCGAAAGTCCAGATAGCAGAAGAGGCCTTGGCCTTGCTGAGGGCCAATATTTGATGAGCCTCTTCCATGATGGGCCCGAGGAACAGCTTGGCCAGCGACACTCCCTTGGAATACCCCACGACCAAGAACCGCGTGTGAAAAACGGGCTCGCTGTCCATGGCCCGAGACTTCGAAACCCCGGGAGCCAGACACATCTGGATCTCCAGAAGGGCTACAATGGCAAGATCACCCAGTGCCAACGAAACCTGCATGAGCCTCAAACTATTGACATTATCGTAGAATTTTCCCAAGTCAAGCCGCAGCACGGCCACGGCGAATCCCAGCTGCTTCGTCCATGACGGACCCCTGGAGGGCGGCGCGCAGGGCAGACGAGTGCCCCACCACCGTGTCCCAAACATCGTTCCTGCCGTCCGCCCAGCGGTCTGCCATCCCCGAGCGAGCCCTGGACCGCAAGCCCATGAGCTTCGGGAGGACGCCGATGATGCGCTCGCCTCCCGCTGGCTTCGGGAGCGTCGCGCGCAGCGTCAGCAGCAACTGCACAGGCCATGACCCTACCTGCTCGGCCATGTTCAGGATGGCCACTACCTCCTGCTTGACGGCCAGGGGGAGCCTCTGCAAGTCGGTTGGCCCAAGGACGTCCACGCCCTTGGAATTGGAGTCTGCGAGCTCGCACCACAAGGGCTCCAGCTCCTCGACGGTCAGCGGGGCGAGTGCCTGCTGCTTCGCCTGCTGGCGGAGTTGTTCCTTCGTATCCAGAATGGCCTCGGGGTCCGCGTTGGCGTCGGTCGAGGTGGGGGCCCAGCGCTGCACCTTCCCCGCCATGATAACCTGTGGGTCCGAGGTGGCGCCTCGGTGGTCATCACAGGGCACCTCCAAGACCCCGGGCGGGCCTGGGTCCTTCACGTGCTGGTGAAGGTGCCTCGGCTTGTTGGCCCACATGTCCTCGGCCCACTTCACGTAAGCCTGGGATGCCGCAGTCATGGAACGCGCAAGCGCTCGGGCCACCCACCTCTCAGTGACCTCGA